GGCTAGCGGGGATGGCACTAGCTGCAGTTCTGTAGCTCTGGATTTCGCTGGTGTCCGTTTTTGGCGTTTTCTGTTGCATCGGTAGTCTGATTCGGTCGTCTATTGGTAATTGCGAAACCCTAAATCTACAGTACGAGACGTAGTCAGTTACCATACCGGACGACACAAATCCGTGTCGGCCAGGTTATTGACACTTTATTAGCAAAATTGGCTGTCTACGCTCACCTGTGTATGATCGATCGTTATCTAAACACATTTGACAACTATTCTGATTTGGATGTTCTAAATTACCGACGCTATCTACTAAGATCAGACGAATACCGGCGAAAACCCACTATTTACGCTTCAAGGTCAGCCATCTTGGAAATTTTGACCTGTGACGTCACGGCGCGTCATAGTCTCGCAATTTCACGAATAAGCCACTCGATTGGAGTTGTGTTGAGATTTAATGAATATTATGGATGAAAACTATCACAAATATATATGCAATGTATAAAAAAAAATCGAAACATGGTATTAGAAATAAAATAACATAATATAAATTAATAATTGTATTATTTTAATTATTTATTTTGAAAAAAAAAATGATAATAATAAAAATGAATTGTGGGTATTTTCTCACACAAGCCAGTGTTTGCCACACCTCCATATCCATTACCATGTCTATGTGTATCAACTGTGGGAATGCATTTGAGGTAAAGGCAAAAGGATATAAGAGACATTCTCTTGTGAAACAAGTTGGTAAAGTAGAGTGTGTCAAGGATGCACTGGATGAAGTATATGAAACAAACCTGACACCCCTAGGCCACAAGGTTAGTATTATATTAAATACTTGTGTTAAATAAAATAATTTATTTAAAGTGTTTGATACTCTATTCATTATTTGAAAGGAAAGTGCCACAATTTATTGTACTACTTTCTCTCAAACATTGATTGAATGGCAAAAACCTAATTTCACATGTTTCAAATCTTAAAAAAAAATGTTACAATAACCCTAATTAAAGCTTCTTTTTCAACAGAAATTAACATTTGTGAAAAGAGTCATTCTTGCTGTTAAGAGACATGATTATGAGTCTGCTATTAGCATTCTGTATCACAGAAGTGCTCGTGTACGGAAACAAATTGCTACTGTTATAAGCAACAAGGTAGGTTTTAAAGTTGTTGTTTTTGGTGTGTTCAACCAATTGTCTTTGGTTCAACACACTTTTATTTATGAGAATAATAAAGCTAGAACAAATCTGATTGGCAGTTAGGCATAAAACAAAGGAATTGTAAACATCACATGGTTTAGAGGTCAGACAATGATGACTGGCATTTGTGCTAAAACAAGCCAAGGACACAAAGTTAGCAAACATTGTGGAAATAATCATCTAAGTAGAGATGTTACTAATTAATGCAAGATGATGCTCCTAATGGTTAACCTCAGATTACTGCATAATCAAACAACTAGTTGTATACAGTATTTTAAATGTCATTTCCAGTAATATAATGCAAGGAAAATGTTTGATATTTAATGTTTCTTTTTAAAATATTTAAACTTCTTTGACTGAAAATTATTATAGGTAAGGAAGGAAGTTGGTAATTACATTAAAAAAAGCAGACCAATGACACTTTCTAAAGAGACATGCGAGTCTTTTCAATGAGAAAAAATAATTGAAGAGGTCAATTGTGGTCTACCTCTGCTGACCAGTATCATCAGAGCAGCTTTAACTACCCAACGTAGTCATAAGTAAAGTTTGTTATAGATGACAATTTTTCAGTATAAATTTTATTAAATGTGCCGCAGGAAAGAAAACAAGGTTGTGTGAATTATCACTTACATAAAGTATGCCAGTTTAGAAAAACAAAAGTTTTTAAACCATATTTGGGAGAGGGTGTTATTCAATTGAGTGTTGATTGGATTTATCACTTACTTTATTGCATAATATTTAAAGAAAACTGCTTTAGCATTATTTTAAGAATTAATGGCATTTATTTCATATTTGTGTTTGTAGTCGTTCTGATGGTAGCTGTGGCAAACTAACTCCAGCATATGGAATGATTATGTGCAATTTGCTACATTTAAGAAAAAGAAGAAAATTTAATATAATACAAGCATTTAACTCCATTCAAATGTATAAAAGTGGCTGTAGTCAGAAGGTATGGAACATACATAACAATAATTTCATGCCAACCAATGTTTAGACATTGTAAATACACAGACTTTTAAATTATATTTTCATGTCAATCTCTGGCTTCTGCACAATCTGTATTATTTATCTGCTTTATTTATCAGTATGCAGTATGCCCACAGTATTTACTAATCTAATTTTATTAAACAACTGACTTTATTTTAGATTATGTTATTTTTTTCAATTATGCAGCTTTTCAAGTGCTTCCAGCATGTTGGTATTTGTTTGGGCGTAAATGGAACACGTGGCACAATAGACAGAATGAGAAAAAACTTTGACAAAGAAATGTATGACATGAAAAGCAAGATAGAGGTAACGTATAAGAATTTATTTGCATAGCTATTGGTGGTGGATAGATAATGGATACAATGAATGTCAATGTGAATACTATTAACAATAAAAGTGTATGTTAAAAGTCATTTTAAATACATATTTTGACAGGAAGAACTAAGAGATGATGCTCCTAATATCAGTAGTGATGATGGTGACATAGATGTTGCATTTGATAATATGGACAGTAGGCCTAATGTTCATACAACGGATGGTGTAACTACCATTCCTCTTCAAGAGTTAATGACTAGTCCTACTACTAGCAGTGAAAGTGATTGTAGTGCCAGTGAAAGTGAAATTTCCATTACTTCTGCAAGCAGTGATGATAAATCTACAGAGGAGGGTGGTGTTAGTTACAGACGTTCTCTCTTTGGACCAGACACAGGTGATGGTGGAATTCAACCATTGAATGAATGAATGTAAGTTATATATAGTGTTTTGCACTAAAGAGAAAATTAACATTGTTGTAAATTAGTTTTTCCTTCATTTTGTATTGGGTTTTGCAGCATTTACATATTCTGTAAAGCCCTCAATTATAAAAATGATCAGTATATGTTATAGTTTCATACCCATGCAGCCCTAGTTTATTGTGACAATTATGCTATTACTATGAACCACCAAGCATGCATACTCATATTCAAATTCATTGTTATCTGCAACAAATTATATTATTTGTACTTTAGACCAGGACCAGTAAAATGCATGGTCATTTGATTGACATAACATAGGAAATGTATGGCTCCATGGAGATGGCAGTTTGCTACCAGTTGAACTTGCACCTGCAGCAGTAGCCTTTCATAATGTTTACCCACTTGTCTGTTTTCATTATATTTTCAGGTCCTGGATACAGTCTGTGCTGGGACAATGTCCAGAAACTAAGTTTATCTCGGTATCATACATCGTCTAAACAGAACAAATTTTTAATGTGGGCGATGTGTTTTGCTACACAGAACAGAGTACCTGCTATGCATTTAAATGATGAAAAACGAGAGCTGGCTACAACAATTCCATTGAATTATTTCCTTCCCTCTCAAGAGGATTGGGATGCCCTTGAAAAACGTATGGGAGTTGTTGTTTCAAGGATAATCTGCAAACATCTCACACATTTTAAGAGCTATTATTCTGATTGTGTAGTGGAACATATTATTCATGAACAGTCTGAGTTATCTAAGAAGAAAAGTAAAGTGGTAAGTTAAGCCTGTCCCTAAATACCAGGTGTATGTAAATTAATATCTAGATAATATCATATTCTTAACATGTGTGCATGTGCAAGTATTCTGCATTATAAGCATGTGAAATTATGATATAGGATAAAGCAATGATGTATTCTTTCTTTATCATTGTAAACAGATAAATTTAGGAGTAGTGCAAGAAAACCCAGGGAGTAGCAAAGGGGTGCTTGCAATAATGAAACACCTGAAAAAGTATGTGCCAATGCAGCCAGATGGAACCCCATATACTATACTGTGTAATGGTGATCAACAGTCAGTTGAAAGAATGATTGATGCCCGCATATCTATGGCTGCTAGTGAAGACCCAGCTAATAGGCTAGCTGGACTTGAACCGGCTCCACAGGAGTTTCATAGACGTGGCATTGTATTACAAGTAAGAATCTACCTCTGCTCTTATGTCATTGGTATTATTAGTACATATTGCATTTTGCTGTATTAAAAGTGCTTCTCTAACTGAGTTAAACAACAGCATTTTATATTCTAGTTGCAGGCATAAATGTATGGAACTATACAGTCATGTGCATCTTGATTCGTGTAATTTATTGTATGAATAATACTACACAACTTGGTGATCAGTATCATAATTTCCTTAGATACAAAGTTTATATCTTAATGGTATTGTAGTAATTAGTAAAACTTTATATTTTCTAGGACATCATGGATAAGATGTATAATGCTAAAAGTGCTGGCAGTAAAGGCACTTTATACAATATAAAGACTGTTTTTAAACACAAAAATGTGAAAACCAAAGTAATGGATAACATGAATGAAGTGACAGATTTATTAACATTCACTACTGAGGGATTGGTGTCACTGCTTTGCATCAAACTGTTGGGATTAGATGATATTGATGACAAACCTGCAAATTCTCCTTGTGAAGAAAGGAAAGAGTTGAGACAACAATACCTACAGACTGTATCAAAGAATGTAGTTACACATGTGTGGCCCGTTATAGATACTTGTTCTATTTCACAAGCTGCTAATAGTGATGATGAAGAAGATGCAAGAGTATTCTGCATATGTGACCCAGATGAAGGTATTCTATAAATTTATGTCACAATTTTCTCAATCACAAGACTTTCTGTAAATTTCCAAATTCATTTTTTCTCCTGGCCACTAACAATATCGGGTGGTAGTCAGTATGTGTGTTAAATTGGACTATAACCAACGTGAAATTGCCAAAAAATAATTTTTGGTTCTATACCTAGTGAATTTGTATGAAGCTTACTTACTAATAATTTTCTTAGTAATCTTCATCAAGTGCACAAAAAAATAATAATAACTATAGTGTTTCTGGTCACAGTGTGAATGATTAATTTTCATTTTTTTACTCAGAAATTAACATCAAAGCTAAAAGTAGTCAAAAAGTGAGATAAAATATAAAAAATAAACTTGTGTACCAACATCATGTTTTTAAAATGATTTTTTTTCACTCTGCTTTAAAGGGCTTGTACTACTGCTAGTGTGTTGTGTTAACACAAAAACATAATTTTGTGGGGGTTATGTATTGGGTTCTTCATGTTATTCATTATCTTTAGTATATGTCAAAGTAAGGTGTCACAAGTATTTATGTTTAAATTTTTGTTTTAAAAAAGGTGTGGATTGTGAAACCTGGATTGAATGTTCCGCTGGCAAAAGTTGTGCATTAGGAAGGTGGTACCACATTGAATGTGTAAATTTAGAAGAAGATAACCTTCCAGGAGAAGATGAAGAGTGGTGGTGTTCACCAGACTGTGAAAAAAGTGTTTCATTTTGTTGTAAGGTGTATCAACCTGGTATAGAAGTTGTTAAATGTATGGCCGGTAATAACTGTCTGAATGGTGAACGTTTTCATGTTGACTGCAAAGGATTAGTTGAGTTGCCAGGTAATATATATACATTCATCAAGCCCATAGACACTTTCTTTTGTAGACTATATAATTACCTTCTCATGTATATTTATTTAAGAATACAGATAAGCTGTATGATTCAGAACTTGTTGTCATTATGTAAATATAAATTGGTAGCTGCAGTGTATTTGCTTGCTTACATTCAAATGAAGAAGTGTTTTAAATTTGTACTTTAATTATGTTTGCTAACCTATAGACAAACTTGTAACAGACAGCCACACAGCTATTACATTTTGTTCATCTGACAACATTTTATTATCTAGTTGATGACTGGTATTGTTCAGTTGCCTGTTACAAGTATAAAGAAGCATCAGATAAAAAGGATCACATTGCAGAGTACACCACTGCATTGACCTGGAAAGGTTTGAAGTATTTCTGTGAAAAAGATTCGGAAAGAGAAAATGATGGTGAGGCAATGATGCGGACCTGGAGAATCAATATGATTGATTTTTGGTCAAACAATCACTACAAGTATCTTATACTTGGGCACAGATTATTGGCAGGTAATGATATGTTGCTATAATTATAACATGATTAAGTGCATAGAGGTACATAATTACTGTATTTGCTCTATTAATAGCACATATCGGTACTAGTGTAAATGACAGAGGTACTGATAAGGTGATATTTTGATAAATCATACAATTTAATAAATCAGTATACAATCAATGCAACTGTTGGCTTACAATTGGAGATGCTCTTTTAATAGAGAAAATACGGTAAAAGTTGCAAGTCAAAAGTCTCCATCACAAGGTATCTCTCACTATTATCACCACTACAGACAAAATCTGAAAGCTTGTATAAACCCAGACACCCATAATTGGCAAAGCACAACGTTGCAGAGAAGAACATTTTTACCTCTCCAAATAATAGTTTTCTTCATGTTTCAAGTTTGAAAAAAATGTTGGTGTGAATAATTGAACAAAATTTTACATTAAATTGTCTTTTATTTTCAATACAATTCTGAGAGTGCTAGTACTGGTACCACTGCCCCAATAATGTCTACAAAATATGTACAGTAAAACATAAGCTTTTACTATGCAAGATTTACAGATACTCTGATTAAGAGTAGATTGGTTTCTTATTAGAGATCATGCACTATGGTGCTAGTTTTTACAGTTAATCATCATGGGCAAATAAATAACCACACATGCAAAGTTATTAAGACAATATAAAATCACATTTATAGGCATAAATGGTTGGATGACACAAAGAATTAGCCATGAACTAAAGTATAACAGGACTGCAAATTTGACAGGTGGAGCTGGACATAATATTCCATTAGATTTGGTAAATGAATTCCTAAATAATGAATTCAAAGGTAAGTCTCTCTGACTAAAGTTAAACTCTTAACAGATCTTGCATGAAATGGGATACATAATGCAATTTGAAATGAATAATTATACATGGTCAAGCAATTAATGAGCTATTTGGAGCACAACCAAAGTATAGGTACATTTTGTTTTAGCCCAACATACAGTTCTAAAATTAACCTAAACAATGAATATACTAATCAGCTTTTTAATATCACCAGATATAATTGTCACCCTAAAGATCCTATACAACACTTTGAATTATCTACATACCGTATTTGTCTTTTATGTGTTAAATACATCTTTAGATGTCTTTTCAATAGCCATAAACCCAATTGAATCATGAACTGTATAATTACATTAACTACATAACAGCTTAGCTAAATCAGCCAATATATCATGCTTGCTAAAAAGACACGTTTTACAGTGTACATGTACATACAATTTGGTTAAAAGTATTTCTGCAGACAGAAAGCACACACTAAACTTGCTTTAATATTTTTTCAGATAACTTGAAGCACACACATGGACAGTACAGTGATTCTCAAGTTGCACGTACCAGTCAATTGGTCGGGAATCTGGGCTCTAAGATGGACCAAGCCTATTTTTCTAAGGTCATTGACATTCATATTTCAAGGACAAGAGCATCCAAAGAATCTTATGTAGATGATGTTAGGAAATTTATTTTAACATACAGACATGATGGCCTTTTTGATGTAGTGGATGGCAGGCGGCATAAAGATTTTCCTGACTTTGAAAACAAAATCACAATAGAAATGCCACAGAAATTAAGAACCAGATTGCACAAATATTCTACAAATTTAGATGCTGAAAGAAGTTGTCTCCCAACTGAGTAACATCAATTACAATAAATAGCACCAAAATATATGTGGGGAAGGCTAGCAATTTGCCAAAATGGTCACTGCAGCACTGTATTTTGCCACCAATACATACTTTGTTTCCATGATATTCTATATACGTTTTTCATGAATATTATCACAACATCTGTTGACAAGTGTACATATGTTTTATTTATATCTAGACACAATGTAAAGTATAGGAAAGACAGTTTTTAGACATTAAGTGTTGATATTAGATTTTTACTGTTTTGTATTATGGCTTAAAAATAAAATTACGTGAAAATAAAGTATTACACAGTATTGGGTCATTCCAGTTTATATCTGCACCCCTTCATGCATAGTTATATTTCCAAATCACAATTCACCATATGATATGATGGAAATCCAAAAGTATAATCCTTGTAGTGTTAGGGAGTTCATTTGTGTCACCTTGATAGTTGTTTCCATACATAAGATTTCCTGGTCTCTTTTATCAAACAAGTATACAACCTGAATTATGAAATATTTTTCCCATAATAGTTTTGGAAAATTCTGCCTCATTAACAAAGGGTGCAGATATAAACTAGTATGGCCCATTGTAAGTCCTGCCATTCTTCTACAAGAATGATAAATATGCAGATTTGGGTAGCAATGTTCAGACCTTACAATATGTTTTGAAAAGGATGGAAAGTTGAGTTGTTTATTTCTGCAAATCGGTGTCATTATTACACTCAAATGTATCAATATTAGATAATGCAATATATGTTGTAATGAAGTTTGGATTAGTGTGAAGGGATTGTATGGCTATACTCCAGCTGATAAATGTTGGCATGGACAGACTCCTCTACAGATACAGCAACATACACAGTGATGACATGTACATTTTTCCCCACATGCTTGTGTACACCTATCTCGGTTAGTGAGACCCTTCAGGTATTCTGCATCCATTTCAGGTATTGTCAGCTCTTGAAGAATTGCAATTCTGAGACACTTCATTTTGCCTGTATTCAAGTTATTGCAAAGTTTCTTCATATCTTCGTCACACCTTACAATATCGGTTTTAACTGCATAACAGTAAGCCTCACCCTTCCTTGTGACATCTCTCCCACATCGCCCAACTTCTTGCCAATATTGCAAAATATTATTGCTCCCTCCCCAGTGCAGTACCAAATCGACATCTGGGATATTGATCCCCATGCCAAATGCAACAGTAGCAACAACGCATCTGATTGTGCTGTCTGATAGAGCAAAGTTCTCCAGTACTCTTTTCTGGTCCTCTAATTCCACATTGGCATGAAAGACATCGACCATTCTACATCTTACATTTTTTTTCTGGTCAATGTATGCATGGTTGCCCAAGTAATTCATGATATTACTCCACTGTCTACCAGTTTGGGTTTGAGTTCTGGAATTTGTATTGACAACACAGTAGTGTTAAATTTGACATTAAATTAATTTATACTGTTAGTAGCCCTATTAGTAGAACATTTGCTTATATAATACATTGTAACCATGTAATACTATGAAATCAAAACGTCATACTTTAATTAAAAAGTGATAGTCATCGCACTGCTCATGTGCATCGTTTGTGTTAATAAACAATTTATGATTTACCGTTAACACATCACTTTTCTTACAAAAATTGAACCAAGCAAGCACATTTCCCTTATTTCTTTAACTTTATGGAAGCTCTCTTTCAGTCACAGTTGTATTTGTATTGCTAATGTAAACATTGCATCATGGGGTGTGTTGTCAACAAACTGCATGGAGTTTGACCTTGCTCAAGCACAGTATGATGACTAGTATTGCCCTTTAAGTGATCAAGTTTTACAAAAAATATCATTTTGGATGTACTTCTACTGATGATGTACTTCTAATAAAGTTATTTTTAATTTCTGATAATAATCATGTATAATTCGCTGAGAGGAGGTAAACAGAAGATGAAATATTTAGACCTGGTCTAGTCCATATTGTGAATACCCACTCTGGCAATTAAGGGCTATACATTATATTTTAGCCTGTTAATGCCACACTTATCAGTATACTGTAAAATACTTTATTTTCGGTTGGATTTAATTTTCACTATTTCCGCTGAAGGAGTGATTCAGTGAATATACCTTTTTTTCCTTTATTTTACATTCAAATCACCAAAAATCAGTGAAAAAAATGCCATACAAAACATCCAAAAAGTCTTTTCAGGGAAAATTAATTCCAGCTAAATTTAAGTATTTTACAGTATTTACTGATGCAGCAATATACATGTAAAACAAATTCCAGGTTAATAAACAAATAAAACTTCAAAGTTAATATTTTGATTACACTGTGTTTGTAGTTTATTAGTAAATCATGTACGGATAAAATAAACTCTTAAAAAGTGTTGTCTTTCAAATGGCATCTAATTGTGCTATAGTCTTAACAGGAAACCTCCAAGTTAATTTATTTTTTTTGTAAAAATGTTCATGGTTTTGTGCAGAGTGACAATGCAGTACATTTCCAATAATGTCAGAACATGTAATTATTTTTTTTTACTCCAATTACAGTGTAAATGTATATACAGAAACATAACAAAAGAACAAGCATGCAATAATATATGTGAAAACAAAACATTTATTAGCATAAAATTAATTAGTTTACAAAAATATTTACTTCAAAGACTAATAAAAATTTGTTCATGAGAGAAACTTTTATCTTTTGTTACCGAATATTTGATTATATGCAACATAGATTAATTAAAAATACAGACCTCATGTATATAATTGCTTTTCTTGCATTTTTCCCCATTACTTTAATTTCATCAATATACCACCTAACATCCTCTAAAAACTTCATTCCTGGCTGACTCTTCATTGATAAATAAATATTAGGCCTATATAAAATGACATTTTCTTCCATTAAACATTTTAACTATTCTAAAATAAAGATCAACATTATGTAATATTGTAGTTATTTACCTGTCAGGATGCCTAGCTATTGTAAAAACTTCTTTGGCTTCTAAATGCAAGGTGTTTAAAATAATCTTCTGTACTTTATCTGTGCATGTAGCACTCAATATGGCCAAACTTGCTCCTGTGAAATGGCCTCGGAAATCTCCAACTCGCTTGTAAACAGGCCTAAAAGTTTCTCCCCTACAGGTATTATGAAACTTCCATGAATATATGATATAAGCATGTATCAAATGAAAGGCATAGCATATTTTTGAAAATAAGAACACAGATTCACAAATTCAACATTGGTTGTTGTGTCCCTTTTTTTGTAATATGACCAGGGTAGTTACCAAACTCATTTTACATAATCTAGAATCAAGTATAAATATTTGTATGCAACAATATAAATTAGTTCAATGCAATGTACAATGAAAAAATGCTCCCATGTATGAGGGAGATAAAAACACAATTAAATATGTAAATGAGCTATTAATTAGGTGGCAACTCATAACTACATATTATACCCATCACCTGCCAAGTTCAGTCACAATAAATTTCAGTAGTTTATAAGATACTAACAAAACTTAAATATCAGTTAAACCTGCAAAGCGACTCATTAAGT